GGCTGGGGAAGCTGAATATCACTAGCAGACAAATATAATTGGACAGATAAATACCATTATCAATATCTGCTTTTACCCCTTTTTGTTATTATTTCTGGCAGTCTCGTTTAATGTGAATCAAAAGCAAACTTGCATATCCCCCAGTTAAAACATGTAATATCTATTTCATGTCTTGCGGCTCTCAAACATCTGATGTTTGTTCTGTGTGCCTCTTACGTTAAGCAGGTTTGGCCACCCCTGTCTTACACCATTGAGACTGGCTACTTCATGGGAAGTGTGAAGTGGAGATGTGCAGAGTGGTGGAGAGCCATGTTTGGCTACGGCTTCCTTTTCTGCCTCTTTTGCATGCTTGGGGTCATTTTTCTCCCCATCGTAACTGCACGTTTTGGGGATCTAAACGGTGTCCCCCCGCCTGGGCTCTTCCTGCCATGAATGTGCGAACTGTAAGTTGGCACTGTGGCTACAAGGAAATGGATGGAGAGAAGTCACAGGTCGGCGGACATTGTTTCTATGCGGGCAGTTCCGAGAGGCAGGCTTCTCCTTTGTGGATGGAACTAGAATTCAGTAAACCGTCAATGTTGTATTTTGTTATTGATGTTGGAAATACTGGTAAATAGTCGAATCGAGGCACGTGGAAGTTGATTGGGACTATCACCATAAGAGCGGGACCTGATAGTTCTGTATGAACGTGCAGGTGGAGTCAGATGGTTAGCCATGTTTGTCTTTCTGTAGCAGTAGAAAAGAGCAAGGGTCCAGGAGCAACTTAAAGACTCACAAAATTTCTGGCAGGGGAGGAGCTTTCATGTGTCACTGCTCACGTCTTCAGATACAGCTGGAACGTGATTCCATTTGTCCTAATTATTGGAAAGTGGAGTGATTTCAGATGCCAAATGACATTAGCAGGTGAATGTCAATAGCAGGTGTGATTGGATTAGGCTGCAAGTGCAGAAGGCGGCCCTGAAAGTGTCTGTTGGGTCTTTTTTTTTTCCAGACAGGTGTTGACTTGACCAAAGATAACATGGCTCTCCAGAGAGTGAGAGAAGCATCAGAAAAGGCAAAATGTGAACTCTCTTCTTCAGTCCAGGTGAGGCTCTGAATTACATCGCACCTTACATGGTCCCGGTCTGTTTGGGGTGCTTATTGATTCTTACACTCCACTTTCAGTTCTAGTTTTAGAAAAGCAACCTTAAGGGTACAGCCAGTGATCCTCTTGATTTGGCAAGGGTTATCAATGAGCAGGTTCCTTCTGCTTGTTAAAATTTGCCACTTATCCTCACGCAATTAGCCTGACACAGTGGCAGCCTCATGTGCTGTTCCGATTAAGAAATAACAACCCAAATGTGGATCTCCAGATAAGAAGTCTGGTGCTGCTACCAGTGCCGCGCCCCCCGGCCACCCTGGCTCATGGCTGTTGCTCTGTGGCACAGGCCGTGCCTTTTGCCTTCTCCCTCGCCACCAGCGCCAGCCCCTCAGGGGCTCCCATTGGCTGGCTGGAAAGAGAGCTGGCCCTGTGTACCGAGCATACTGATCTGACATGCCGCTGTTCAGCATGCATGTTGGGGCCGGGCTGGTCCTTCCCCTGTTCTTCAGTCCTGGGGGAAAAGCTGGCCTTGTTCTCATCACGCTGTTTGACGTTAAGCAGAAACACGCACCCTGTCCACTCTTCCCTTGTTTCTGAGTTTAACCGTGTGTTTACCTCTTCCACTTTTCAGACAGACATTAACTTGCCTTACCTCACGATGGACGCCTCCGGGCCGAAACACTTGAACATGAAGCTGACCCGCTCTCAGTTTGAGGGGATCGTGGCCGATCTGATTAAGAGGACCATCGCCCCCTGCCAGAAGGCGATGCAGGATGCTGAAGTCAGCAAGAGCGACATCGGGGAAGTCATCTTGGTCGGCGGCATGACCAGAATGCCCAAGGTACTTGCAGGTTCCCTGTCATTGGGATGCTTCGTCATCTTAGAATCAGAGAATCACAGAGTTGGAAGGGGCCATACAGGTCCTCTAGTCCAACCCCCTGCTCAGTGCAGGGTCAACCTACAGCAGTGGTGGGGAACCTATGGTACGGGTGCCAGAGGTGGCACTCAGAGCCCTCTGTGGGCACGCGTGCCATCGCCCCAGCCAGGCCCAGACCATCATTAAAGTGTCGAATTCTCTGCCAAATAATTTTAAGTACATGAAAGCATTTGGAATTGCTTTACTTGCTTTGTTTGGATCATCTTAAGTTAATGTGTGAGTTGCTTTTTCTAAAGTAAAACCGCAGTATTCAGGTTAAATTGCCGTGTTGGCACTTTGGGATCTCCAGATAAGAAGTCTGGTGCTGCTACCAGTGCCGCGCCCCCCGGCCACCCTGGCTCATGGCTGTTGCTCTGTGGCACAGGCCGTGCCTTTTGCCTTCTCCCTCGCCACCAGCGCCAGCCCCTCAGGGGCTCCCATTGGCTGGCTGGAAAGAGAGCTGGCCCTGTGTACCGAGCATACTGATCTGACATGCCGCTGTTCAGCATGCATGTTGGGGCCGGGCTGGTCCTTCCCCTGTTCTTCAGTCCTGGGGGAAAAGCTGGCCTTGTTCTCATCACGCTGTTTGACGTTAAGCAGAAATGCGCGCCCTGTCCACTCTTCCCTTGATTCTGAGTTTAACCGTGTGTTTACCTCTTCCACTTTTCAGACAGACATTAACTTGCCTTACCTCACGATGGACGCCTCCGGGCCGAAACACTTGAACATGAAGCTGACCCGCTCTCAGTTTGAGGGGATCGTGGCCGATCTGATTAAGAGGACCATCGCCCCCTGCCAGAAGGCGATGCAGGATGCTGAAGTCAGCAAGAGCGACATCGGGGAAGTCATCTTGGTCGGCGGCATGACCAGAATGCCCAAGGTACTTGCAGGTTCCCTGTCATTGGGATGCTTCGTCATCTTAGAATCAGAGAATCACAGAGTTGGAAGGGGCCATACAGGTCCTCTAGTCCAACCCCCTGCTCAGTGCAGGGTCAACCTACAGCAGTGGTGGCGAACCTATGGTACGGGTGCCAGAGGTGGCACTCAGAGCCCTCTCTGTGGGCACGCATGCCATCGCCCCAGCCAGGCCCAGACCATCATTAAAGTGTCGAATTCTCTGCCAAATAATTTTAAGTACATGAAAGCATTTGGAATTGCTTTACTTGCTTTGTTTGGATCATCTTAAGTTAATGTGTGAGTTGCTTTTTCTAAAGTAAAACCGCAGTATTCAGGTTAAATTGCCGTGTTGGCACTTTGCGATAAATAAAGTGGGTTTTGGGTCGCAATTTGGGCACTCGGTCTCTAAAAGGTTCGCCATCACTGGCCTACAGTATCTCTGACAAGTGCTTGTCCAGATGCTGCTTAAAGACTGCCAGCCATGGGATCAGCCGGGCACTTTGGACCTTTTGCTGAATTCTTTTTAAAATGTGTTTCATGGAATGTGTTGATTGGGCACAGAAGGGAGGGGGTGGGTCTTAAGCACGTTACCGTTAAGGTGATGATGCGGTTTGATTCTTTTGCAGTCTCTTCAGCTTATTTCCCATAACTGAGCTTGAAAGAGGATGTGGCTTTCCTTTTGTCTTCCTGCTCTCAGTTCCGTGGGGGACACCCAAGAGGCTTCGACCTCATTGCTAAAGTCTCTAGGCTGTCCCCTTGTCTGATGCTTGAGGGCCTTTAGACTGAAGGGCTGTAGTTCTGCCCCACCCGTGCAGAACTCCATAGGTTTTCTTCCTCTGGACACAGGAAATGACCGCTCCCCCCCCCCCATCAGTCCAAGGGTCGTTCTGCATATCATTACAATTGTGTATACAAAACCCCTTCTTAGCACTGGAGAATAAAATGTGGGTTGAAACCCTGGCAAACCATGGGACGAATTGCAGGTGTGACGTTAATGCAAGTGCATGCGCCCCCCATGTCCCTCCAGGTGCAGCAGACTGTGCAGGACATGTTTGGCCGTGCCCCTAGCAAAGCGGTGAATCCAGACGAGGCCGTCGCCATCGGGGCTGCCATCCAAGGAGGCGTGTTGGCTGGCGATGTGACCGATGTACTGTTGCTGGACGTGTTTTTTTCCCTTGGAATTGAGACCCTGGGAGGAGTCTTCACTAAGCTCATCAACAGGAATACCACTATTCCCACCAAGAAGAGCCAGGTAAGAGGAACGCCTGAATGTCCTTTCTATCCTTTCTTTCTGGTATGTCGTCTGTTGGGGTCATGGTGGGTGGGGGACCATGACTTTGTGATATCTTCCCCCACTTCGTATCTGTGCATGCAGGCTTCGGAACTGAGTCACTGCTTCACTGATAGTGCACTTCCTTCCATGCGCTGACCTGGCCAGCTATGTGGGAAGACCGGTCAGAAGGGGGGTGGGACAGGAGAAGTGCATTCTTTTGCTGGGCAAGAGAATGCCAGGCTGTTTTTGTTTGTTTGTATGTCTGATTGGGGGTGGGGGGAACACTGGAATAATAAGCCAACAGCCCAATAAGCTTCAGGGGACCACCCAGGCTCGAGGTTTTGCAGGCACACTGACCATAAGGTAACATTCGATATGATCATTGGATTCTCTTCGTAGTATTTGCAAAGTGCTTTTCTTTAAATCTTAACTGCTTGCCTTGGGGAAGGGGCTGTGGCGGAGCATCTGAACATAAGAACATAAGAGATGCCAATGTTGGATCAGGCCAAAGGCCCATCCAGTCCAACACTCTGTATCCCACAGGGGGTGGGGGTGGGGGGACCACTGGAATAATAAGCCAACAGCCCAATAAGCTTCAGGAGACCACCCAGGCTCGAGGTTTTGCAGTCACACTGACCATAAGGTAACATTTGACATGATCATTGGATTATCTTCGTAGTATTTACAAAGTACTTTTCTTGAAATCTTAACTGCTTGCATTGGGGAAGGGGCTGTGGTGGAGCATCTGCTTTGCTTGCAAGGAGGTCCCAGGTTCAGTTACTGGAGTTTTCCCCGCTAAAAGGATGAGGGTAGTAGACTGATGGAGAAGACCTCGGGCAGAGCTCTTGGAGGGCCACTGCCAGCCTGAGTCCATGCCCCACGGGCCTCAGTAGACGGATGATCTAACTCATTGTCGACCATTTTCATACTGTATGCACGTTTGCAGCAATTTTGTTTGTCTTCTAACTCAGTATAAGACAGCTTCAGCTGTACTTCTGAAGAGCCGGTTAAAGCAGAAAGTGGTTGATGATGGCATCTCATCAGGTCTTGGAAGCGGCAGACGGATGATCTAACTCCGTATAAGGCAGCTTCAGCTGTACTTTTGAAGAGCCGGTTAAAGCAGAAAGTGGTAGATGATGGCATCTCATCAGGTCTTGGAAGCTAAGCAGGATAGGCCCCTGGTTAGCCCTGGATGGGAGACCACCAAGGAAGTCCAGGGTTGCTACACAGAGACAGGCAATGGCACAGCCACCTCTGTTTGTCTCCTGCCTTGCAAGCCCCAGAACTTTACACACGCAAGATTATCTGTTCCCTTTTGGGTTGTCCGTCTTGTTCGTGTCCCTATTTGCTTGCATACCACTTCGCCATAACTGTGCCCCTGTGAATTGTGTGTTCCTTTGTACAGGTATTTTCTACAGCCGCTGATGGGCAGACCCAAGTGGAGATCAAAGTCCACCAGGGCGAGAGAGAGATGGCCGGGGACAACAAGCTGCTGGGCCAGTTTACACTGGTATGTCGGCTTTCTGCAACCTGAGCCTGTTTGTTAGCATGTGGTAATAATCTTAAAAGCGGAGTCATCGGTTCACTTTGGGAGGCATTTTTACACAGAGGCATTACTGGGTTTATTGTCATATTTTTTTCTTTGAAGATAATCATTTAAGTTGAAAGGGGGCAATTTGGGGGGGGGGTTTGCTGGTAGTGTTAACAATACCAGAAAATGCAGATATTTCAAAGTGCTCTGGGAGGGTGTGTTCTGTTCTTTAAATAATAGCATCGTTTAAAGGCTGTCAAGAGGTACTAGAGTTCCTCTTGAGAGAGGGAGGTCGTGCAGAACCATCCCTTCCAAGGAAAGTTTCTTGGCTAAAATTACTCCCAGGAAGCTTTTTTCTTCCATCCTTGCACAGACTTGTCTCTGTCTGTGTTTGTGACTGAGAGGGCCTACACCCACCCACCAAGCTCTTGCCTTCCCACTCTGCCACCTGGTTCTTGTCGTTTCAGACCCTACTCCCTTCCAGTTTTCTCTCCTGTGCCGCTAAAAATCTTTAGATTCCCGTATCGTGCCCCACATTGGATTGTAGCACCAAGACCAAGCCGGGCAGTAAGATCAGCAGATGAGAATCTTCTGGTGGTCCCCGGCCCAAAGATATCCGGCTGGCCTCGGCCAGGGCCTTTTCCGCCCTGGCCCCAGCCTGGTGGAACTCCCTGCCAAAGGACATCTGTGCCCTGCCTGTCCTATTAAAAGTTTCACAGGACATGTAAGGCAGAGATGCTCTGCCAGGCCTTTGGTTGAGGCCAGCGACAGTTCCTTACATCTGCCTGGCACCCCCCACCCCATGACTGAATGTCAGCACTGGCATCTTGTTTTTTAAATGTCATTGGATGCTTAAATGCCTTGAATGTTCTTACTATTGAATTTTTTCTGGTTTTCACTGATTCTATAATGTACTGAATTAATCTGTTGTGAACCGCCCTGAGCCCCTGTGCAAGTGGGGAAGGGTGGTCAAGTAATCTAATAAAATGAATAAGACAACAGTGTTCCATGACACCCGGGAGTAACTGATTTGTTGACGCCTGCACGATTGTAGGCAGCCTGGTGCATTATCAGGTGCATGGAGTGAGCTTAGGAAAATAGATTAAGGTACAATGGAAAATAAACCAACGTTACAAGGCGAGGCTGGAAAGTAACAGTATCTCCTCCGGACAATTTGGACACTTCAGTTGCTCATCTTCAGTGTCACAGGTTGATTGGCTGTTGCAAAAGTTTTAAGTGACACCTCCCCCTACCTCACCAGTGCTCCCTCTAAGCCGTGGAGTTTTGCGAGCAAAAATTCTACCTTTGTGAGCGACTGGCATTAAAGTTGTGAGCGAGCGATTTGGCTGCTGTATAAATTAGTCTGCTCTGGTGCCCTCCTTCCTGAGCGAAGACAAAAATGTGCGAGCCGGAGGCTAAGAAGCTGTGAGCTGGCTCACACTGACTCAGCTTAGAGGGAACACTGGTTGTGACTTGACGGCACTTTACACACACAATAATGCGTCGGCTTTGACCTGGGTGGCCCAGGCTGGCCTGATTTTGTCGGATTTCAGAAGCTAAGCAGGACTGGCCTTGTTTAGTACTTGGGTGAGAGACCACCAAGAGGTCCAGGGTTGCTACACAGAGGCAAGCCATGGCAAACCACTTCTGTTAATCTGCCCTGACTAGAGATGTAAAATTTCTGGAAATTTTGAAGCTTGGAAAAAAAAAACCGGTTTCCCCCCCAGTTTTTTTTGGAAAAAACCTGAAATTTTCGGATTTTTTTTTTAAAATGCTACATTAGCATTTCTTTTGTCTTTTCCAGATTGAAAGCCATTCTGTTACTTTAGGAACATAAAATATGACTATGGACATTTTTACTTGGCATGAAATGATCACAACTGGCATATTAAAAATGTAGTGTATCCAAACAATTATTACAAACAGAATTCTGCTTGGCATGCAGAAGGTCCCAGGTTCAGTGCTTGGCATTTCCAGTTAAAAGGACCGGGTAGTAGGTGATATGAAAGGTCTGAGAACTGCTTGGCAGTCTAAATAGACAGTACTGACCTAGATGGATGGTTTGGTTCTGTATAAGGCAGCTTCATGTGTGTTCAGTACCTGGGGTGGGGGGAATCTTGAGGACCTATCATGGGGAATTGGTAGAAATCATCCCTTCCAAGCATGGAAACTAAGTGGAGTCCGTCCCATAATCTTGTAGATACGTTGAGAAATATGTAAAGCTGCTTCTTTGTGGTGCTGAACCTGTGAGTTATTCATTGAATCAGACCTTGATCTCCATAATATTCCACAATGCCAAAACTTTCCAGTAAGTTATCCTCTTCTGTGAACTATCAGCAAAGTACTTTTGTGATTCCAGGTTGGGATTCCCCCAGCTCCACGGGGTGTTCCTCAGATCGAGGTGACTTTCGACATTGACGCTAATGGGATCGTTCATGTTTCTGCAAAAGATAAAGGCACAGGGCGCGAACAGCAAAGTGAGTGCATGGATAGCCGTTTTCTTTGAGTTGGGGTGGGTGGGGTGGAGATGATATGCTGCAAGCACCTGAAGAAGGTGTGCTACTGCAGTTTGTGGCCTTTGGGAATACCATGGAGATTCTGGGACATGTAACTGAGAGCCAGCGTGGTGTAGTGGTCAAAAGCAGCAGACTCTTAAATCTGGAGAACCGGGTTTGATTCCCCACTCCTCTTCCACATACAGCCAGCTGGGTGACCTTGGGCCAGTCACAGTTCTCAGAACCCTCTCAGCCCCACCTACCTCACAAGGTGCCTGTTGTGGGGATAAGACCCCTTTGAGACTCCTTTTAGGGCAGAGAAAAGCAGGCTAGAAAAACCCAACTGGTCTTCTTCTGCAGTCTAAAAACAGCAGAAATATGAGTCTGGAAGAAAAGTGACACTAGCACGTGTCATCTACCTGGTTAAAACTTGGCTGCCATTTAGATTGCTTTTTTTTGGGTTCCAGCTTTAATTCTTGGTGGTCCCTGGGAAATCATTTCATAAGGTGTCCCGTGCTTTTGGTTTTGACCTCAACCCTTGACACCGTGTGTGTGCTGTGATGTTCACTGTCAACACATCATTCTGAAAAGTTGTGTGGAAGATTTCTGACTGAGCACTCCACGGCTGGGGATCTGGTCCCTGCTGCTTTGAGAGGTTAAGGGGCATAAACACTTGCTCCCCTAGATGATTGCAAAATGTCAGAAGCAGCAAAAGGAAAAAGCCAAATTATTGGATTAGCTGTGCCAATAAAACCTAGCTGTGCCATTAAAGGGTGTTAGTGTATTTCTGCTAGATCTCTCTCTAAAACGCATGTTTTCACATTTTGCATAGTTGTGATCCAGTCTTCCGGTGGCCTTAGCAAAGACGATATTGAAAATATGGTGAAAAACGCTGAGAGGTATGCAGAGGAAGACAGGCGAAGAAAGGTAACTTTACACTGCGAGAGGCTAGTTCATCTATCTGAAATCTTCATTCCCAGTACAGTTAATGTGCTCAGAATCTGAGTGGACGTCTAGGGTGTCAGACTATAGTCGTCCATAGAGAGGGTCACGCATAAATATTGTGCAAACACCCTTTGCTCTGTAAATTGAAAAATCTCCCCCAACTGAGAAGTGAGGACTGCTTTTATCCATTAATCTGTCTTTGTATCTGCATCTCTATCGGTGTATGTTTTTGCTTTTCAGCTGTTTGGTTGTAGTGGGTAAAATTCCAAATGTTGCAGACCCTTTACACTGAAATTCTAGCATCTACAAAATACCACCATGCTGGCACAATTTATTTATTCTCCTCTTGGCATGCTGTGGGAAAATATCTAACTTTGAAATCCTCAGTTTCTCTAGAACTAGTTTGACAAACAGACTGAATGGCTATTGCATGGAACTAATTCCTTGACAGCTAAGATTTCTATCTTGCTACACATGACATTTTCAGAGCTGCGGTGGCTCAAGTGGTTAAGACGCTGAACTGCGGGCTGTGGAAAGTCAGTAGTTCAGCAGTCTGAGACCCGGGTGCTGCATGACGGAGTGAGCTCCCATCTCTAGTTCCAGCTCCTGCCAACCTAGCAGTTCGAAAGCAAGAAATTGCAAGTAGATAAATAGGTACCACTTTGGTGGGACGGTAACAGCGTTCCGTGCGCCTTGGTGTTTAGTCATGCCGGCCACATGACCACAGAAACGTCTTTGGACAGCGCTGGCTCTTCGGCTTTGAAACGGAGATGAGCACTGCAGCCGTAGAGTCGGATTCGACTGGCTTTCGAGCAAGGGAACCTTTACCTTTTTACATATGACATTTAGGCCACGGAGTCGTCAGTAGGTGTTTAATCATTGAGTTGAAGAAATGAGGCAAAGGGGCGTGATCTTTGATCCCATCATTCCTTCATCTACCAGAAGGTCTCGCTCATCAACACTACATGATATGGCACATAAAGAGCACATTTGCTGCAAACAGGAGGGTGATTTCCTTTTGAAGGACTTCTGAATGTCCACCCCTTGGCTTAGGAAACCAGGGTTTAATTAAGCCAATTGTGACTCGTGTGATTGTCTTAATGCAGGCCATTCTACTGATTATGGCTTGCTAAGGTCCATGGAACCAGGATCAAATACCATTGGCTAGTCTTAAGTGTAGTGTGACGTGTGAATGTAGATGCCGTTGCTTCTTCCCCAGTGCCACCCTCATTAGCACCTCAGATACACCACCTGGTCAGAGGTGATGTCAAGTCAAACCAGGATATGAACCTGCAAGATGAATGCTGCTTTCACAGTCTAACCGTAGTTAAAGTGAACTATCATTTCATGTTATCTCCGAACTGAGCCCTTGCATTTCTAACTAGGGATGGGCGTGAACGGGCTCATGAACATAAATTTGTGATGATCTGGGCCCAGTTTGTGATTTGCTAACCGAAGTTCATGCCATCTCACCGCCACGAACCTCCCACGACCCTCCGATGTGACTTTGGGAGGTTCGTGTTGGCAGACATGCTGGTGCCAGGGGCAGGATTTGGAGAAGGCACTTAAAGAGACTACTGTCTTTAAATGCCTTCTCCATGCCGTACCACCACTGCAGCGCATCTCAGCATGTGAACTAAGAAAGTGTGAACTCACTGCAGTAAAAGCCATTTAAAGGGAACCCTTTAAATGGCTTTTGCAAGCCATGCAAGTGCAGGAATGACGTCCAAGCAGTGAGGTCACCCAGAACTGGCAACCTGGAGTCTGCACCACATCACGGTTCATTAACCACGAACCGGTTCATTAAATGGGAAGGTTCATGAGACCCCACAAACCTTCACGAACGTCCATTTTCCTAATTCATGCTTTTATCCCTATTCCTAACATACAATTAGGGTGCTTTCTAATAAGTTTCCAAGTACTGGAAATGAAGTGGCAAGCCCTTTGTATTTCTTGGACTCCAAATAAATAGCTTGTGAATGTCCCTGTAGGTGGCAGGAACATTTCTACTGTGTAAAGATGGTGTGTACCAGCTTCTCAGGAATCCATGCACTGCAGATGTAGGTGTGCACACAACTCAGTTCTGCGATTTTGGGTTATATGGAGGAAATGCAGACTTGAGGGTTCATAGAGTTGGGATATATCTCTGCACACAAAATTTGTACATCAGAGAAACTTTTAGCCTATGTGCTGTCAAAGCAAGCGCTGGTGTGTCCTAAAACATGATCTGTGTAGATATACGTGAGGGGCTGTGAGGACAAACTGGGTACCGCGTGCTGTCTCAACACCCCCCTCCCCCCGGTTGCTTCACTTAGGAACGCGTTGAAGCTGTAAACATGGCAGAAGGAATCATCCATGATACAGAATCGAAGATGGAAGAATTCAAAGATCAGCTCCCTGCTGACGAGGTATGTATTCTACAGTGCCCTGTTGCAAAGGTATCGTGTCCCTGTATCGTAACTCAGCCTTCAGGTTATATGGATCTGACGACACTGCCTGGGCGTGTGCAGTGCACTCGTTTGCATGGCTTTCCCCCCCATTTTTCTTTAAAAGAATGTGTAAAATCCTTCTAAGTTACATCACCCTTCACAACACTCTGCTCTGACTTATCCCCCCAAATGTTCAGTATCCTATAGGGATGAAGGGACTCTCTAAAAATAAGCTGTAGCCTTAATCCTCCAGACAACCTTTAGTAAAAATAAGAAACTCACAATTCTCCCCCCAAAAAACTGCCTAGGAGAATTGACTTGTGAGGTTTGTGCACCCTCCTCTGCAAAAGCAGTGCCGGGGAAAGGCATGGAGGGACCTTAGTGTGGAAGATTCGGTTAGGGGAAGCAGCATTGAGCGTGTTGGGCCTCCTGGTGTGTCCCTCTGTACAGTCAGAGCTGAGCCACGCTTTGTTAAACATTGCAGGATATGTTGGCTGATCTGTGCCTTGGGCCTGAAGAGCCCCAAAAGGTCACAGATGGGGTGTGTCTGCCATTGCTTTTACAGTGCACCAAGCTGCGGGAAGAAATTGCGAAAATGCGTGAGCTGCTGGCTCGTAAAGACAGCGAAACAGGCGAGAACATCCGGCAGGCGGCATCCACTCTGCAGCAGGCGTCCCTGAAGCTTTTTGAAATGGCCTACAAGAAGGTAGGAAGGCCTCCACGGGCTCGGGCAAGAAAGGGGAGGGATCCACGGTCGGACCTCCCCCCCTCCCCAGGCGTGCCTATATGTCCAGTTTCAAGAGGGAACGGCCAGTCCAGTAAAGCAAATGAAACAAAGCCATTGGGGGAATGTGGGAGCAGGCCAGACAGAGGGCACCAGTCATCTTCCTGGACATATTTTAAAATTGTTACAGCTAGCGTTAAAGGTGATGATTTTAAAAGAAAGGCTCCCAAGTCCCCAGTTTCAGATTGCTGGGTGCTTGATTTTCCATCGATATAAAACTAAACCATCATCAGTATAAAACAAAACTAAACAGCTATCAATATAAAACTAAACAATTTTTGCATAGTTTCACTCTGGATCCCTGTGCTCAGTTCCATGGCTTGTTTAAAAATACGCCCATTTTGCGTTGTGGGGAGCTGGGGGCAGGACTCCCAGGCAGAGTTGAGTCGGATGACCAAAAAGTATTCCCCCTCCTCCCTTGATTTTTATTCAGTGTCACCCACTGAAAGTTTTGCTGCTTCTTGGGCTTTCTTGACCTCCACTAAGGTTGGATTGGATTGGGGCAGCAACTTTTCAGTTGCCCCGGTTACCTCTCTTGGGAAATGACTGGGTGATGGTGATGCTTTGATAAAATGAGCAAACTCAGTTCAGACAAGAGATGACAGGAGATGGCCTGCTAGACATACAGGAAGTAGATGTGCCCATTGAGTGTGGTGGTTTCATTCTCCCTACCAGCACATTCAGCCTCTACATACCCCTGGAGTTGGCTTGTTATTGAATGCCAAGGTGACAGTGGAGTGCTTTCTCTCAGTTACACCTGAGGTGCTGATTATACCCTGTGCTTAGGGAATAGGGATCTCTACACTGTCGCTGTTCAGGGTAGACAGCTAGGCTTCTCCCCCCCGCCCCCCTCCATACATCTTGGCATCAGGGCCCCATTAGCAGAGGGTGCAAGTCTTGGGCGGGCTTGATAGCTAAACCTTGTTTCTGGTGGCCCGCACTGCTCCCCTTCCTTACTTCCTGCTCCACAGAGGGAAAAGTGTATCCCTTTGCACCATTGGCTGCATGTGAGGAGTTTAAGGGGAAAACTGGGTGTACTCTCTGTGCTGTTTGCAGTGGCCACCGCCCAAATACATACCACCATCCGGATGTACTCTGTCCTGTTTGCGGTGGCCACCGCCCAAATACATACCACCATTCTGAACGAGTCACTTGGCTTTCCTGTGTAGCTGGCAGTTCTTAAAACGGTTGCGTCCATGAGAATGGAAGCATTGCCTGCTGGTTACCGGAACTAGTTTCCTGGTCACCGCTGATAGCTTGACAACCTAGTTTGTGGACCCTTGCCTATCAAGGTGCCCCTCTTGTTGTTCTGCACAACCTTGTAGCTGCCATTTTGTTGCTTGCCAGCAAGCCCTTTAGCTGCCGCTCCACGGTGCCCTCCATCGCAAGCCCCTCTGTGCCTCAACTTGCCTTTCTTCTACAGCTGTCTGTGTAAGCCAGTGACATAAGGTGTCTCCCCCCTTGCCTTCATCTTGTTCGGGGTCCTGAGAGCCTCTGCTGTAGAAACGTGACGCTCCTGTGTGATGGTGGCAGTTAGGCCCATTCGAACAGTCTTCATAAAGGTGTCAGAGGATCATAAATTAAAACAGTAAAGGGACCGAGATTTTTTCGGACAACAATTAAACACTCACTTATATAAGAAGGAATTCCATGGCGTGACTACCTGTAGGTAACAAACTCTCTGCTTGTGTGTGTGCTTTCTCCCCTCTCCCCCCACAGATGGCATCAGAGCGGGAAAGTTCTGGAGGTTCTGGAAGCTCCGGAGACCAGAAGGATCAGAAGGAAGAAAAGCAATAACTTGGCCTGGCGCATAGACTGGAGCAGGAAGAAGGGGCAAAAGTGTTTTGAAGCTTGGGAGCCAGAGAACCTTCCTGAGCAGCTGCGGGCAGATTTATGTCTTTACTGTGTTTTTGCAGTATCCTATGAGAATTTTCCTAAATGTGTATACATTAGTGACGTGTCTATTAGTGAAATCATCACCTGATTTAAAAGAGAAAAGTAATGCAGGCACGGGTGTGTGTGTCCCGTCCGTCCCCCCCCCCCGAGGGCCAATGACCTTTTGGGGAGCATCCAGAGGATTCCAGTAACTCTTTATTTCGGGAGGCTTGAGGAAACCATGTCGTACCTTCAGGGTAGGGCTTTGGGATTCCTGGATTTTTCCAAGTTCCACCCTGAATGGGTGGATCCTCTGTTTTGGGAACAGATTTCTGTTTTTTCCAGTGGGAAGGGATAGCGGTGGGGCCTGGATTCAGCAGTGGCAGGTTGATGTACGCAGCACCTCCAGTCTACAGCTAGTTTAGTTACCCCTTGCGTTCGAGGAAGTGGATCGCTTTCAGGGAGCCGTGGTTTGTAAACGAGGCCACTCTGAAGTTCCATTTACCGCTTCTCTGAGCTTCCCTGCTCTAGCTGATGTCTCATCTCTTCTTACAGGAAAAACCAGCTTCCCAATGAATAAAACCATTCTTATTGGATCTGTGTTTTTAAGTATTTCTCTCCCCCACCCACCCCATGCCCCCAACTTCATGGCGTAGCTGACCGGAGCTGCGATGGCACATAACTGGAGGCCTCGAGCCGAGGTCATGCGTCAGAGGATCTCTTTACAGCGGCATGCTTAGCATTTCCCCTCCTCCTGCTCAGGGTATCACTTAATGCAGGAAGCTCCAGAGCAAGCTAGGAGGAGCTTCCTGTCCCAGAACTTCGACCGTCAAACTCTTGATGCCTTTCCCAGGTGTGATCCAGAAGTCATCTGAAACGTTGCTAAACAGAGGCAGCCTCCCCTGTAGAATCGCTCCTGGGTAATCTGCAGAAGCCATGATCACCCAAGCGTATTAAGTAAGCTGAATAATGATTCTGTAGAAGGTAGGTTCTGAGGGGAGCCACGTCAAGTCTATTGTAGAAGAGTTAGATCTGAGTCCCGTGGCACTTTAGAGGCCAACAAGAGTTTCAGGGCGTCAACGCTTTCAAGAGTCAAAGCTCCGTTCCATCAGCCGCTGTATCTGACAAAGGAAACGTTGACACCCTGAAACTCTTGTTGGTCCCTTAAGGTGCTACTTGTCTCAAATCTAACAACTCCAGAGAAGAAATCGCTGTTGATATTTAAGACGTGGGCTCCATTAAAGAAAGCCTCTAGCTAAAAAGGGATGGATTTACTAGAGAGTAGAAAGGAGGGAATTTTTGGGGGGGGGGGGTGGCAGTCTTTAGAGCTGGTGTCCGATATAGCTCTGCCGAGGTGGAAGGTGACTGGTGAATGAAGCATGAGGTGGATGGGGAGGGAATGTGGCAGGGCCTTCTCTTCTGTTTGAGTAGGAATGTGAACGAAGCTGCTTCCCCATGAAGTTGTCTGAGCTTGATGACAGGCACCGTGTGTCAGGCGGTATGGTGAAATCCTGCCTTGCAGCTCTCGCTATAAGATGCTAGGGTTACCTCTGCCTTCCCTTTTTGCAAGCTTAGAGGAGGCAGAAGCCGGATGCAAAAGGCTTAACCCTGGTCCGGTCCAGTAACTCATTTCTTAAGCTCTCGTGGCCCTTCACGCATGAGCAACAGGCAACTGCACAATCTTCCCATTCCCTTGTGAGCTACAACTCTCCTTTTTCATTACAAAAGCAATAGAATCATAGAGTTGGAAGGGACCGCCAGGGTCATCTAGTCCAACCCCCTGCACAATGCAGGAAATTCACAAATACCTCCCCCCATACACACACACACCCCCAGTGAGTCCTGCTGTGTGCCCAGAAGAGGGCAAAACAAACACCAATCCTCCAGGATCACTAATCAAACTGGCTTGGAAAACAATTGCTTCCTGACCCCAAAGTGGCAACCAGCATTTCCCTGGGTGTGTAAGAAAGGACCATGAGAATGAAGCACTGAGGCAACCCTTCCTGCCCTCCCTTCTCGTGATCTGCCTAAGTTCACAGGATCAGCATTGCTGTCAAATGGCCATCTAGCCTCTCTTTGAAAACCTCCAAAGAAGGAATCATCATAAAAAGAACTAATAGGAAGCAGTCACTGATCAGCGGGAAGCTAAGTTCTCCAGTTCTGCCATACTGATCAGCTTGGTAGGTGCAGGCATATTCATCCCACATTTCAATAGCCTTAAGACTCACAACAAGAACTCTCGGGTAGTGGTATGAATTAGAACTCTAGCCTTTATTATATATCTTTTTATTTACATTTTTATTCAGATGTTGTCAGATGCAGGGGGCTAGCTTTTTCTTTAAAAAATAAACCACTCCAGGGTCATGATCAGATCTGACTTTCTCTCTTCCTCCTCTGCATGGGGCTGTCACATGAAGTAGGTGGGAAGAATACCCCCAGATGGAACTTACTCCTTTCTGAAAAGGAATGACTTCCAAGATGCTGGTACTAAATGTTTGCTTTGACTTGTATGTTGGGGGGGGGGGCAGAGTGTCCCTGAATGCTTGACTATTTATTTGTGTGTCAGTGGATCCCACTTAATGTCTCTGAAAGCTTTTAACTTTTGTATAAAATTGCCTCCTTAAAGCATGCCATTTAACTGTCCTCTGGATTTGGAGGTAGTGTCTCCAAATGCAACTGTGAAGTCTGAAACTCTCAGACAGACTGCAGATGAAACAATCTGGGCCTTCAAAGCATTTTTATTGCCTAAAAATATACATATTGTCCAAAAATATAAATATAACATGTACTGTGTTTCCAGCTGGATGGGAAAAACATTGCATGCTGACAGCACTGTAAAACAAATTTAGAGTCCAGTGGCACCTTTATTCGAGGTATGAACTTATGTGTGCTTGTACACTTTCAGATACAATGGAATGGGAGGAAAGGTTCAAACTCAAACCGCAAATTAAGGTGTAACATGGTGAAGATGTCCAAAAACAAAACTAGATTACAAGCTAAGGTTATAAGGTCAACAGTTGTAAAGCAATAAATATGTGAAAGTAGCAGATAAATATGTAAAGATATATTTTCTAATTGTGGGAAGTAAACTGATACTCTGTTCTCTCATGTGTGGAGGTCACTTAACAGCTTGGATGCAGCAAAACATCCCAATATTCCTTGCATTAGATTCAGTATGCTGATATACTATTCTGGGAAAAAAATACAATACAGAGGATGGTATAGTCCCTCCTTGTTGAGAATACATATGTGAGGACTGAATGAGTTAGCATGTGTAATGAGATAAGAAACTAATATCCCTGGGGAGGTCAACTAAAGCTTTGTTGGTCTTAAAGGTGCCCCCACTGGACTCTAAATTTGTTCTACTGCTTCAAACCACCACGGCTGACCACCTGGATCTATCTTGACAGCACTGTAGTATCAGTTGAAAGCTCATTGGTAAATGGTTCGTACTTCATGCATTTTTAAATGTACTAAATAGTTTTGGCTGCTGCCTCCCACTTTCTCCTCTGTAAACCACCCATTACAAAATTATGTAAGCGAGTGACTCTCATGCTTTTTCCAAGGCAGGAAGAGCCGAGTATTCCTTCCCTGCATAGAAATTAAGTGACAGGAGTTTGCCTGAGATCGTGCAGTGAGTTTGAGACTGAACAGGAAGTCAATCCTCTGTTTCCGGCACTTATGCCAAACACCAAGCCAGAGATTCCCAACCCTGCTTCTGTGACTCCCCACTCCTGCATGTCGATTACTTCAAGAGCCGCTGCAAAAATTTAAATTAAAAAAAAAAATGCTATAAAGCACACTTTCAAGGATCATCAGTTACTCAACTGCTGCCAGCCTCCAGAAACTGGATTTTGGGGAAGTGCAGCAAGCTACAGTAGGATGGGGGAAATGGAAAAATCCTGTTATTGGAATGTTATTCAATTGGCATAGCTACACTGCTGATTGGATTGGACTGTTACTCGTTGAATTAGAAGACTGTTAAAAATAGTTTGCACTATGCTTCATTCAAATTCTACTTGGGAGGAAGGAGGAGGGGTGTTCTGTCAATATTCAGAATAAGATATCTAAGAGCCAGTACAAGAGAGCCTGTTTGCCATAACTGAAAATATGCGGTTTTAAAGGTATGGATAATTGACATGTGTGTTAATAATCCACAAAGTTTCTACAGTCATTCCAAACACTGGTGGTTGATAATCCTTTATCAGGAAGTGCCATACGCAAGGTCTCAATAACAAGTATTCATAGGAGTACCCTGAGCTATTGTTTTAGGATACCAGTATATATTTGCACTTGGATTCCTGGCAGTTGAGGACCCGAATTATTTCTGTAAAGCATCTCCAAGAAGCCCTTTTGTCCCATAATTTTTTTTGCCTGCGGTTCCACTCACACACAGAGCTTTGACTCTTGATAACTTATACCCTGAAAATCCTGTTGGGTTTCTAAGGTGCTACTGGACTTCTATCTAACCATTTTTTTCAGTCACACACTGGTTTATTCTAGCATACCACCTACCCCTCCCATATGCCTTAAAGCTTTCATTTTTAAAGTACCATACTAAGTGTTACAAAGTATTGCAAGTTCATAAATTGAGAATTGCTGCTCTAGTACTAATTTGGTAACTATCCAGGATTTGCTTATGTATGCACAAAGGTAAAAATCAGCAATGGATCTGCCAGAGACCCCGGAGAACTGTCAATCAGGATACACAGTACTGAACAGGATAATGTGTTTGTTCATACACCGCTTTTCTCCCTAAAGAGGACCCAAAGCAGTTCTTCTCTGTTCTTATCCTTACAATACCCCTATAAGGTAGGTTAGGATGAGGTAGTGTTGCCACCTCTGGGTTGGGAAATTCTTGGAGATTTGTGGGTGGATTCTGGGGGAGAGGGCTGACCTCAAACCGTAGTATTCCAAAGCGGCCATTTTCTCCAGGGGATCTGATCTGTGTGGTCTAGGGAAAAGGCGTAAGTCCGTGAGGTCTCCAGGGTCCAAGTTGGCAACGCTGGGTTGAGGTCACCTGCTCGCACATTCTCGGAGCAACATCAACAGATTATAGAAGTTGGGCAGGCTCAGCACCGCACTACGTATAATTTGTTCCCGTGACAGAAAATTTGGGAAGTCCCTAGTTTTCAACCCTAAGTACCCTCACTAAGGATTGATCGCACCCCAACTGTAGCTGCGTGCGTAACTTGCAATCCCATTCCACCATCCGCAAATGCCTAACCTTAACCGCACTCCCTGCTTGCTCCGGCGTCACCCCGCCCTACGATACTCTTTTAGACTCATGCGACCCGCAGGCATTCCCCAAAAAGGCGTGCGCGTCCCTTTTTTTTAAAGCGGACGCAACCTGACGCAACTCGCGCCGCTCCCGGGCAGGACCACGCGAGAGCCTGCCACATCCGCCCTGGGTGACCCTGGCCGGGCGGAAACTACAACTCCCGCCGAGCCGCGCGGGCACCATTTCCGCTCTTCTCCCGGAAGTTGGCCAAGGGACCGAGCGACCCCTAACCAATCAGCGAAAGAGAAGTGGCCGGAAAGCGGCGCCTGTCGCCTCACGCACGTCGAGGCTGGGCGTCTTTTTTTTTTTTTTTAAACCAAATAATAAAAAAAAGAGCGCCCCTACCGGAAGTGATATCAGAAGCCCCATGTGAGGTGATTGCAACACATGCAGCGCGGAGGAGAGGCGAGGGAGCGCGCGAGAGGGAGGGGGCAGAGCAGGAGAGGCGGAGGGGGAAGGAAGGAAGAAGCCGGTTAACGACGTCACAGGCGCCGTCGCGAGGAGCCCTTGCGCCGCGGTCCGGGGAAGGGGAGCCGGAGCGCGGGAGGCGGCGGCCAGGCCTGAGGTGAGGAGGAGCAGAGGAGGGAAGGGGGAGGACGGGAGGGGGCAGGCCGGCCTCTCTCCCCCCCGCCCGGGTGGCCCGCCTGCCTGCCTGCCTCACGGGGGGGCCAGTCGGTTGGCGAAAGGGAGGGAAAGGGATGGCGGCGGGGGAGGGGCCGCTCGGCAACCCCGCCTGAGAAGAGGAGCCCAGGCCGGGGCGGCCTTTTCCCTCCCTCTTTCTAACGGGCTTTTTTCCCTTTCCCCCCCCCCGTGCGGCGGCCTTGCTGGCTCACTGCAGCCGCAGGAGGGGCGGTGGAGGAGGAGGAGGAGGAGGAGGGAGAAGATGGCGGACGATCCCAGCGCTGCCGACAGGAACGTGGAGATCTGGAAGATCAAGAAGCTCATCAAGAGCCTCGAGGCGGCGCGCGGGTAAGCGGAAGGGCCGGCTGGGGGAGAGGGAGGGGGGGCGGCGCCTCGCGATCTGAACTCCCTCCCCTCCCCCGGGTCCATGGCTCCTTTCCCCGTTTTCTTAACAAAAAAAGGCATTATTTTAAAGGACTCGCTCTCCTTGGAAGCGGTTCCACGAGTCCGTTCCGGGCACGGGCCCGTCTGGTAAGGGGGGAGGGGGCGATTTATGTCTATGAGTTCCCCACCTAGGACGGGACGGAGGCGAGGCCCTTCCGACTTCTGTCCCCCGGCCCCCGAAGTGGTGGGGACGCTTTTTAAAAAAAAACGTACATTGGAGTGTTCAGGTAGGTGAGCACAGCCCCTTGTAGCCTTGAGTGGGAACCGTTCGGAGGCACCGCTTGTTGCCGTTGCTGCCCCTCCCCAGTGAGAAGGAGCCTCAAGAACAGAACTTTTGACTGCATTCCTCTGTAGAGTGAGTCCAAGTCTAACATCGCTGAAGTCAGTGGGCTCCAGAGGAAAATGACTTCGCATAGGATTGCACTATTGTGGTGAAGCTCGGGGCGGAGTGTGTCCACATGGAGCCGGGAGTGTATGAGCCCTGTCACGGAGGAAGTCTCTTCTGTATATTCTGCCTTCCTAATCTCAATACTTCTAATATGGAGGGCCATTCTGTCTTGTGGCGCATGCAGACACGTCATTTGCAGGCCAGGGTGCCACAACTCGCTCAGTTTGGGGATCCCTTGTTGGAAACTAGGTCCTGGACTGTTTTCCGAGAGCTACCCTTGTGGCCACCCACTCACAACCTGTAGCTGGGCCCAGTTCTGTTCATTCTCAGTGGTGGGTTACCAACAGTCATTGGGTGAAGACAGAGATAACCTTAAGTGTATGTAGCAAGAGTGAGTTCAAAAAATAGAAAGGGCCGTATAATCCCTGTGATGTGTAGTCTTCATTTTCCCCTTTGTATCTTTCCATAAGAAGCTGGCATTTTCCATTGCCTTCCCGTAAAGTCATTTTTGGGGCGTCAAATGTTGGTAGCTTCATTGCGGGTTGCACAGGTGGGGCAGGTCTCCTTGGCCCTGTAATGCCAGTGACTGAGTTATCCTTTCTTTGTTATGTCATGTGATAACGCTTGTTTGCCCACAGTTGTCTACCTTGAGGTTATAGCTGGACTTTCTATACTGGCTTTTTTATTATAATGATGTATCCGTTTTATGCCAAAGAAGTGGGACTTTTCCTCCCACAATGTTTATATACTTGGGACTGTTTTCATTTACCTATTAATTAAGATAGGTGTGACCTATTACATCCTTTGAGAATAGTAGCTGGACATACGTCTGTTTACCTGGTAGCTAGGGACAGCCACAAACCTTTGTCATGACCACCTCCTTCTGCTTTCCCAGCACACAGTAAGAGATCCTTCCTCAAGTCCTCTAAGCAGGAAGGATCTTCCACTTCATACTGAGAGACAGCAAGACAGACCTTGGTTTTCTTTTCATATTAAGAATAGAGATTCAAGGAGACTTCTCAGTATAATCTGGGTCTTGGATATCTTTGGAAATCTTGGATATCCTTGCTTTTGAGATTCCCCAAAGCCTGTCATGAAATTGAGGGGGGGGGCGGTGTTTCAGGGTCAGTGGCCATTATAAATGATTGGTTACCTGCCAGGTCGTGTGGAACCTTAAGGAGAAGTACCCTCCTTTACATGCTGTTGACTGACCACTTTGTGGTAATGTTGCCTTTAAGTACTTGGATTTTGCAAAAAGCCAGTGAGACATCCATATTTGGGTGTTCAGTTTTGTTGAAACTCCCTTGTGAACTAACTAACTGAAGTTAGTGTTTGGTCAGTCAGACATTCAGCATTGGGATTGACTAATTCTTGTGCAACCTTGCTGGAAGCTGCCTTGTTGGCTACCTGAAGTCAGTATTTGGTCAAACGGTCGTTCAATGTTGGAATTAACTAATTGTGGAAGCTTGCTAGAAGCTATCTCTGCACATCACTAAGTAGACTTGGTTGCACTTTTCCTTGGTATCCTGTTTAGCACATGTCCACTCTCATAGTTTTTGAAAGAGGTCAGCTTAATATTTGCCAACGGAGCTGGTAATTCTATACCCCTTCAGGGGTTTCCTGTGAATTCTCTCAAGTCTGTAGTTAAATCCTAGTGGTATAAATGAGGCAATGATATGATTCACTAGCAACTTGTTATGTTTAAAAATCAGTTGTGGTTGTTTTCTTTATATAGGATTTATCATCTTCTAGGGATTGAGAAAAGGGGATATTTAAGCAATTCTCCCTGCCCTGCAGTACTTTATTTGTGATCCTTGAACACAAGAATAATCGGGATTTCCATTGGTTGTAGTCTGCTTCTAGTGGAGGAGATAGGAAACCTGAATTGTTAAAAATTTCAGGTGCACTGGGAGTTGAACTCTTTGCCCTGTTAGTGGGAAGTGGCAGGAATTCTCCACAGAGATAGTGACCTTGGTGGTAAACTCCTTGGACCCTCTCCTCTTTGCTGGGCAGTATCTCTTGAACTGCAAGATCCCCTCAATTTTCCTCTACTTCATACATGCAAGCAACTCTGCATATATAATTCAAGCTGTCTGGATCCCAGCCACTGTTTTTAGTTGTTAATATGAAAATTCAGGGGTTGCCATGTATTACTGGATGGTAAATTTTGATAGCCATCAGGAGGCAGCTAAAGAGGTCTTGTTACTGGTATACAGTTTTCATACAGCTTGTTTTAAGCCATTTTGGCTTTACTTGAAGTTTCTGAAGTATGGTGTTATCACTGGAAATGGGATTTAGTGTTTGTGTGGGTGCTTGGAGTACAAAAGAGTGAATAGTAGGTCAGGAAGGTAATGATCTAAGATGACTTTTTCTTAGTAAGTAAAGTATTCTGCAACAACTGGGATTTCAGAATGATTGCAGAACATTTAAAGGAAGAAGAGTTTCCAAAGTGCCCTGAGCAATGCCATCCATGATGTTAGGTGTAGCAGTACTAACTTCCTATGGCCCACTTTTGCTGTGTTTAAAAATTAATGAAAATGTCTTTTGGGGTTGGAAGGTTAGGAATATTCCTAGTTAGTAGCAATTATCATAGCTTAAATAGTAGGGGTATTTAAAATGAGATTTGTCTTAGTGACCACTTGTTTGATGCAGTCCGTCAGGAAATAAGTCCGGTTTTTTGCTTTTCAAAATGTGGTCACTCTACTTTATAGCTGTCCTCTCCCCTTTGTTCTAAAAGTATGGTTGAACTCTTTGTTTCAACCAAACCTTTGACAAGCTTAAGCTACCTTATTAGCAGCAGCCCTTTTGTCCAGGGCATTATGCTTATTTTTGTGCGTGTGTGTGAAGGTGGATACTAATGTTAGTAAGGAAAGTGAGGGTAAAGATAAATATGGGGTAGACTGGAAGCTTGATGCTTCGCCAAGAAAACAGACTGTTAAATGCCCATCTTAAAAATAACCAAACACACACACCCAGTACAAAATGTAAGCATTTATCTGTTTCTTTACCTGTGGAGTTTTTAATGCTGAGTAATCCGTGAAGAGTCACAAACACAGGTTTGTACTAAACAGAGAACCGAGAACATTGCTGGGTGAGTAGAGATTCCGGCTAATCTGCTTCATGAAGTCATCTGCTCCACCCCAGGCAGTTCAGAGCAATGTTAAGTGTTGCCATGTGTGTGAAGCGTCAGGTAATTATCATACTGTATTGGTATTTATACTTCTCTTCACGTAACTTGCCTGAATGCCAAGGGTATTGTGGGTTTCTTTCAAATAAGTGGGTTCTGACAAAATTGAAGCTCGTGAAGAAGTATTAGGAAGAAAAACAGATTGGGGAAAAAACTCCTTTCCATATCTTTCCCTGCTTTTTTCAAGGGGGGGGGGGAATCTACTTTGCCCCAAAGGGCAATGAAAAAGTAAAGAGTATAGTATAAGCTATGGAAAATTACATGGATGGGCTAGTGCATTTTCAGTATTTTTTAACTGTTTACAGGACATCCTGCTTTAAGCTCAGTTTATCTACAGGTATTGCAGTGTGTCTTTTAGTGTGATGAGATACCAGGAAAGAATTTTGTTTTAGAATTTAGTGAAGTATTCAAATTTGTATGATCTGTTAATTATTTTGACCTGGTTTCTAAGTTTCCTTTCTGCTTCTGGTAGGTCCTGCTACTCATTGGACAGGACAATTTTCACTGATTCCCCCTTATCGCTGCAACCCCTCCTTTGATCCCCATGGTTATCTGGGTATACACTGACCTATGGAGATGCAACCTCAGGGTCATAAAGCACTGCAGGCAGAGACAGAAAAGTTACTATGTATAGTTCTGCTCATACAGCACAGCGTTCAGGTAGTTATAGGGGGTTATACACTTTCTGACTGCTTCCTTTAGCAGCATGGATTTCTTCTTCTTCCTTGTGGTATTGACGTTTATTTCTGGGTGGTATCTTACCACCAGTTTGGTGTAGTGGTTAAGTGTGTGGACTCTAATCTGGGAGAACTGGGTTTGAGTCCCCACTCCTCCACTTGCGCCTGCTGATGTGACCTTGGGTCAGTCACAAGCTCTGGCACAGCTGTCCTTGAAAAAGAGCAGTTTCTGTCAGAGTTCTCTCAGCCCCACCCACCTCACAGGGTGTCTGTTATGGGGAGGGGAAGGGAAAGGAGTTTGTAAACCGCTCTGAGACTCCAAGTGAAGGGCGGGGTATAAATCCAATCTCTTCTTCTTCTTCCTCCTCCAATGACAAAATCACAAGTTGGAGGAAGGCTTCATACTTGGCTTAGTGGACTGTTAGTATAAAGGCCCCCTAAGTCTAGGTGGAATCTTGCCCTATTTTTTATTGCAACTTTTATAGCTTCTTTGTTTACCATTTCTTGGAGTTTTTGCAAAATACACTCAAAACCTGGATCTGGTGAAGGAGGCAGACCTGAGTGCCAACAGCTTACCTGCCTATATTTGTTGTTAGCTTTAGGGCTCTATTTGCTGACTTGGGCAACTTTCCCATCCAGAAACAAGGGGGGG